CAGTTCAAAAGGTTCTGCAGTCTAGTCCCTCAACCTGCAGGAGCACAGCAGGATTGCCTTGTTGCTGTTGGTAAAAATCACCTCAAGGCGTCTCTCCTTGTGCTGACTTGTGCCGGCTTGTAAATACACATATTTTGACTTCAAAACATAAACACTACTACACGTTTGAAAATGGCGAATACAAATCAGCTGCCTGGCATTCCTGTTCCAGGTGCTCAGCACTTGTGCTGCATCCATCTTATTCTAGAAATGTTTGAACAAGTTTTTCTGATTATTCTGATGCTCTCTAAAGCTTAAGAACCACTAGTATAATATGGAAAAACTGCAGTGTGCTTATTTCTGGGGCATGTTGTAGATTCATGTTAAGGATAAGCATAGGCTTACTTGTAATTTCTTACTACTCTGTTGTTAACACTGAAACCTATGTGAAACTGTTACTACAGACTAGTAGCAAGCCTATGTTTGCCTTGTTTATTGGTCAATCTACCTCTGATTACAAATATTCATCCTGAAGAAAAGAAGGACTTTAAGAGTAGATAATTCTATTCAAAACCTTTGAGGATTATAACTAGGAATGAATAAATATTTTTTTCCTGTGTTTATCTAGAGGTGTAATCAATAGGTAGAAATTTTAGGAAAGCAGATTTGATCTTAGTGGGAGAGACTATTCCTGAGGTGATGGGTTATAGCATACTATTATTGTGTGCTGTTCATTGATTCCAAATCATAGTGACCCTACAGACAGAATAGAACTGCCCCATTGCATTTCCAGATGCACTGGACTGCAAGGTCTGTTTGAACCGCAAGGTCGGTGGTTCAAATTCATCAGCCTATACAAGGTTCTTGGAACCCCTATACAGGATGGCTATAAGTTAGAACTGACTCGATGGCACTTAACAACAACAACAACAAATCTTTATGGAGGATGACTGCCACAGCTTTCTTTTACAGAGCGGCTTATGGGTTTGAACTGCTGATCTTTCCGTTAGTAGTCAAATGTGTTTAATCACTGCATCAGCAGGTTTCCTTCTGTTCCAAACTAAACCCACTGCCATTCATTGGATTCTCACTCGCAGTAACCCTGTAGGACAGAGTAGAACTGCTCACAGAAATTCTGAGAAAGCCTCATCTTTCTCCTTTGGAGAGACTTGTGGGTTTGAACTGCTGACCTTGCATTTAGCAGTCCAGTGCTTATCCTAAAGTGCCATCAGGATGCCTACTGTTGGTGCTAAGTGCTGTTGAGTCGGTTTTGTCTCATAGAGATCCTGTATAGAGTTTCTGAGGAGCAGCTGGTGGATTTGAACTGTAAACCTTGTGGTTTGCAGTCCAGTGCTGATCTACAGCCACACCAGGAGTCCAGGGCAACTACTAGAGGACTGCAAATAAGATTGAATGATCGTTTTGCGTTTAGTGGAAGAAACTAGATATACTTTAAAAAAAAATACGAATGTGCATGAGTCAGAAGTGACTCCATGGCACATAACAACAACAAGGGGCAGCTATTAATCTCTCCATCTGTGGGAGAAAGACGAGTGTTAAGAATTGAAGAAGCTTGGAATCAATTAGTCCAGTGGATTAACGGAGCATGTGACTAGAAGAACTAGATGGTGCCTGGCTACCATTACCAACTGCTCTGAAAGGGTCACATTAGAGGGTCCCAGACAAAGTGAAAGAAAATGTGGAACAAAACTCAGAATTATTTAATAATAATTAACGATCGGGTGTACTGGTCAGAAAGAGACCATGTCCCTTAACCATTCTTCAGGTCTGGAAAGGAACTTACCCTCATGGCCCAATTTTCAATCAAGCAGTAGATAGGTTTATAGGGCAGGGGGCGGACAACAATACTAGTAAGGTAGGCTCAACATGAAATGATTAATCATTCAAAATCAAATGGGGAACCACGTGAGTTCGTCTTCAGGGAACTTGCTGTAGGCATTGCCGATGCGATGACAAAAATACAGTCAGATCCTCATGGGCCCGAGGCTCTGATGGAGGTGGGCAGTGGGGAGTGCACATACCTGAACCCCATCACGTAGCCAAGGGCCTCCCACCCCCTCACGCGTGCTAAAAGTAAGTGCTTTGAGAAAGCGGTGAAACCAAAGCAGATTCGGTGCGGTATGAAGGAGGCTCAGAAGTTTATTAACACTACCTGTCGAGGTATACTGCCACCTTCCAGTTATGTGTGAGGACGGAAACTTGCCATATGTCTATAACCCCTCTAAAACGGATCTGGGAGCAGCAGCCGGCTCCAAGCACCCTACCTGCGTGATAATGGTCAAGCCCCATGAGAAAAACCAGGAGGTCTATGATGAGTGCTTCCAGGAGGTGGAGGTCCAATCCCTGGCCCCACCGCTGTGAAGGCACCTGCTCTGGATGCTGTTGGACAGACAGTGGGCCAGCCTGCTACCCACACACTCAGCATCTCCCGGATTGCCTGAGGCATGTATTCCCAGGTAGCTCCAATAGCTCTTTCACGAGGATAACGCCAGCATCTTCTTAACCAGCGCTGTTTCTTGGTGCACTTAACATAAAGACAATTCCAAGAATTTGATGTGGCAGAGGTAAATACTAAGACAGAAAAAAAAAATCAAACAGGCAACATTTTCCTAAGGACAAAGTTAAGAAGGGACAGGAAGGTGGGTGGAATGCAAATAGGAACCACAGGGAGGAAGCTGGATAGCATTTGTGGCATGAGACAAATGTATGATTTGTTGAATGTGAAGCTGATGATTTTGTCTGTAAACCTTTACTCAATTCACAATACAAAGTTTATGTATCGAGAGAGTCCTGGTGTGGCATTGTGGGTTAATGAGCTGGACTGCAAAGCCAGTTTGATCTACAAGTCGGTGGTTCAAGCTCACGCAGCTATTTGGAAACCTTATACAGGGTCGCTATGTGTTGGAACTGAATCATATATATATGATTGTTGTTGTTAAGTGCCACTGAGTCAGTTCTAATTCATAGCAACCCTGTATACGGTTTCTGAGGAGCAGCTGGTGGATTTAAACTGGAGACCTTGTGGTTAGCAATCCAGTGTTTATCCTACAGTGTCATACCAGGACTCCAGAATTGTGATTGGCAAACTACAAATATCATACATATGAATTGTTGTTACGAGCTGTCAAGTTGGTTAGGACTCATAACCCTGGATAGTGTTTCCAAGGGTTTAAATCTTCACAGGAGCAGAAAGTCTCATCTTTCTCCCTCAGAGCAGTTGGCGGGCTTGCACTGCCAACCTGTAGTTTGCAGTCCAGTGCTTATTGTATGAAGCCAGTGTGCTTGGATGATGATCCAATTATTATGTAGGAATAATTGACAAACTGATGAAATGCTGACAGGATTCAGGATAAAGGAATGATGAAAATCAAGTAGTATTAATCCAGGGAAGTTTCTGGAGAATTTTGAGATGTGTGTAGTAAGGATGAAAATTGAGCAGAAGTAGAAGAAAGGGCATTTGAAGTGTAATTGTGTGCATGTGTAATTGAGGAAAGAGAGGGAGAGAAAACTGAAGATTTGGTAAGTATAAGTTTGGTGTTGGAGAGAATATTACTCTGGGGTTATCTGTAGCAGTAATGGGAGAAATCTGTTGGCAGAAATTCTCAATTGTTAGGCAGAGGTACTTGGTGTAATTGGCCAGCAAGATTGGTAGTGTAGTAGTTATGAGTTGGACTGCTAATCTCAGGGTTAGCAGTTTGAAACTACCAGCTGTTCTGTAGGATAAAGATGAGGCTTGGAAACCCTATGCCGGTCACAATGAGTTGGAACCAACTCCATGCCACGTATCCACCGCAATCTTTAGAGGTTTGCAGGATGTGGTGTACAATTTTTTTTTTTTTTAAGATGCAAACTATGTTTTCTTAGGACCGTCATTGATGATAGTCTCAGATTTGCTATCATTTAAGATCATAGGTGGTGTCTTTATGATTGATAAGATGTGGAACTGCAGGATAAGCACTGGACTGCTAACCATAAGGTCAGCGGTTCAAACCCACCAGACACTGCTTAGAAACCTTATACAGGGTTGCTGTGAGTTGCTGTTTAGTGCCATCGAGTCGACCTTGCAGTCAAGTGCTGATCCTACAGCGACAAACCAGGACTCCATAGGAAACTGTCTCTACTAAGATTTGTTGTTTGAGCACATGGATCCCATTAATGGCTTGTTTGATTTGCTCCTTTTCCCATAGGCATGACACTCCAAGAATCTGTCAATCTAGATGCTCTCACAAAATACCTGAAACATCTTGAAGATAAGTGTACAGAAATTAAACAAGCTATGTCGACAAAATACATATCCGTTCAAAGGAAGGCTGATTTGGATGAGGAAATGCTTGTGTTATTAAAACGGAGAGATGTAGCTGAAAGTCTGAACAAAGAGTTACTATTTCAGTATGAAAATTGATGATGGATTTTTAAAGTTTGAATCTTTTATTTGTGCATATTCTAATATTCCATCACTTGATTTTAGGTTCATATGTTCTTGCTGTTTGCTGTCTTTATAGCTATCAAAGGATTCAGATTGTTTCACATGCACTTACTTCATGGGTAAAATCGGAGATGAGCGGCTCATTCCAAGACTTTGTGGACCAAATTCAGGGAACCAAAGATTTACACGGTAGTTTATATTTTCTAATTAGTACAAATAATGAAACTCCCCACCCTCCGCCCCCATAAAGCAAAAACGTGGGCCTTTCTTAGGCTGAACTTAGAGGTAGCAAAACAAAATATATATTTCTGCTAGGTCTCTGTTACTCGGTGGAGTTCTTCCTTCTATAACTGCCCAATGATTTGGTAAAGAACAGACTAGGTGAACGAAAGAAAATACCTGAAGGTGTGCCTAAGAACATGAAGAACAGGAACTGGAAGTTAGCTTGTCTAGGAAGAGGTTCATGTTAGAAACCTTAGCATTAAGTTGTTGGAACTGAATATATGTATGGAGCTCTGGTAGTATACTGGTTACAAGTTGGGTTGCTAACCTCAAGGTCAGCAGTTCGAAACTCTCAATCATTCCATGGAAGAAAGATGAGGCTTTCTGCTATCGTAAACATTTACAGCCTCAGAAACCCTATGCAGGGTCACAATTAGTCGGAACTGTCTCTACAGCACACTACCATCACTTCCACCATGTATATATATATATATTTTTTTTTTTTTTTCTGTTGATAATTAAGGCACCCAGGTAGCATAATGGCTAAAACAATTGGCTGCTAATTGAAAGGTCAGCAATTGGAACCCACTAGCCACTCCTCAGGAGAAGGATGAGTCAGTCTGCTTCTCTAAAGATTTACAGTCTTGGAAACCCTATGGGGCAGTTCTGCCCTGTCCTATAGGGTGCCTATGAGTCAGACTCAATGGCAATGAGAAATAGGGTGGGGTATTGATAACTATCATCAAATATCTTATGGTACTGCTTTTAATATTTACAGGTGACCAAGGCGTTTTTGAGGAATTTCTTGAAGATGATCCAAGCAAGGCAAAAGAAGCTGAAATTTTGCTTTACTATATTGAAAGGCAAATAACTTTAAAAGCTTTGATTTTCATTGTTGAAGTAACCATATTCAGCATTTATTTATCTAACTTTAAAAAAAAAACACCTTTTATTGTGAATTGAGTGAAGATTTGCAGAACATATTATCAGTTTTACATTAAAAAAAATCATACATTTTGCTAAATTACATTGATACATTCAGGGATTTCAATCCCCTGTATATATCAATGGGGAGCTCTG